TCCCAGTTTATTAAAGGCATTTAAATTTAGGGAGGCTAAGCAGCCTGTCCAAAGTCACCTAGCTATTATCTAACAGAGGTGGGATTTGAATCTGGTTGTTGTTCATTCAATCAAAATACATTTACCAAGTTCTACTTTGTGCCAAGCAGAAACAACATCCACCTCCTTTCCAATATATCACATTGCCTAATCTTTTTTGAGTAAATCAATAGATAAATGCAACTATTTTCTTCTTTCTCAGTTTTAGCAATTCAGTGAGAATGAAGGCAGCCAGTATCACAGGAAACCCACAGGATTCCCCTGGGCTCTGTCTGCCAGAGCAGCTCAGTCCTCTCTGCCAAAGGGACTTAGGTTGCTGAGACACTAAACAGGGAAGAAAAAGAGCAACTACCGCTCAGTGGGTCCTGGTTACTGGAATTAATTTTATTAGAGTAAACATACAACAATTTTAGTTTCTAGTAAATATTTTCAAACAGAAATTTCAAAATATTTACTACTAAGGTTAAATAGGGATAATAAGGCTGTTGTGATAAACAGAAACATATGAAATTAAAAGTTAGTGATAACAGCTATAGTTCTATCAGGCTCACCCTCTAACATATTTCTGAATGTTATTTAGGTTGCCAAGCATTGAGAAAATCCTGATTTACAAACAAGTAGCTGCAACTATTGGGGGTTTTTTAATTTTTTAATTTTATTTTTTAAGGATTTTATTTATTTATTTGACAGAGAGAGAGAGAGACAGCGAGAGAGTGAACACAAGCAGGGGGAGAGGGAGAAGCAGGCTTCCCGCAGAGCAGGGAGCCCGATGCAGGGCTCGATCCCAGGACCCCGGGATCACAACCTGAGCTGAAGGCAGACGCTTAACGACTGAGGCACCCAGGTGCCCCGGTGTTTTTTTTTTAACATGCATTCTTAAAACCTTAAGTTAACACATTGTTCATCTTATGTGTATAAAAATAGTTCTAAATATTTTTAAATATTTATAAAAATAGTTCTTTATAAAAATAGTTCTAAAAATTTTTCAAAATCAAATCACATACTTGAGGAATTTCTGAAGCACCACTCTAGTGTTCTTATAGAACAAAGTATGGAAAAATCAGGAAAAAAAAAAGTTCTCTGAGATCCCTCCAATTTCAGTCTAGGAAATTATATAGAATACACAGTAAAGTGCAAAGTTATAAGAAGGAACCAGCACATTCTATTCACTGCCAATGGCTCTCTTCTGGGGCAAAACTCTCTACCCCCCCAACTCCAATCCTGCCATCAAGACCATTATTCATTTTTGAGCATCATTTCCCACTTTCCCCCCCTTTTTTTTTAATAAAGATCTTATTTTTTAAAAAGATTTATTTGAGAGAGAAAGAGAGCACGTGTGCGAGCAAGCATGGGGGGTGGTGGCAGAGGGAGAGGGAGAATCCAAGTAGACTGTGCCTAGTGCAGAGCACAATGTGGGGCTCAATTTCACGACCCCAAGATCACGACCTGAGCCAAAACCAAGAGTTTGGAGCTCAACCCAGGCTCCCCAAGACTTTATTTTTTTAAGTAATCTCCACACCCAGCATGGGGCTCGACCCCAAGATCATGCTCTTCTGACTGAGCCAGCCAAGTGCCCCCCGCCCCTTTTTCCCCTTTTCTACTCTTTACTCCAGCTAATCTCAAGTATTGACTGTACCCTGACCATACCTTCCTACTTCCCCATGTGTTTATTAATACTGTTGCCTTCACCTTGGAATACTGTATTTTTGAAGGCCCATGATATGCTAAGCACCATGCTAGACAACCTGAATACATTTTCTCATTTACTTCTATTACCATATTTTACCCATCTTTATTTATTTGTAAATAATAACATTTTTAAGTGTTTACTTTGTGCCAGATATTACATGCTCAGTGCCTTACAGTAGTAGCTCATTTAATCCTGATAGCAGCCCTAAATCAAAAAGTATGACACTGACACAAAAGTACACACATAGATCAATGGAGCAGAATAGAGTCCAGAAATAAACCCACGTTTATGTATTTATATGGTTAATTAATCTATGACAAAGGAGGCAAGACTATACAATGAGGAAAAGACAGTCTCTTTTTTTTTTTGGTTTGATATATTATTTTTTTTAATAATTTTTTATTGTTATGTTAATCCCCATACATTACATCATTAGTTTTTGATGTAGTGTTCCATGATTCATTGTTTGTGCATAACACCCAGTGCTCCACGCAGAACGTGCCCCCCTCAACACCCATCACTAGGCTAACCCATCCCCCCACCCCCCTCCCCTCTAGAACCCTCAGTCTGTTTTTCAGAGTCCATCGTCTCTAATGGTTCGTCTCCCCCTCCGACTTACTCCCCTTCATTCTTCCCCTCCTGCTATCTTCTTCTTCTTTTTTTCTTAACATATATTGCATTATTTGTTTCAGAAGTACAGATCTGTGATTCAACAGTCTTGCACAATTCACAGCACTCACCATAGCACATACCCTCCCCAATGTCTATCACCCAGCCACCCCATCCCTCCCACCCCCCACCACTCCAGCAACACTCAGTTTGTTTCCTGAGATTAAGAATTCCTCATATCAGTGAGGTCATATGATACATGTCTTTCTCTGACTGACTTATTTCACTCAGCATAACACCCTCCAGTTCCATCCACGTCGTTGCAAATGGCAAGATCTCATTCCTTTTGATGGCTGCATAATATTCCATTGTGTATATATATCACATCTTCTTTATCCATTCATCTGTCGATGGACATCTTGGCTCTTTCCACAGTTTGGCTATTGTGGACATTGCTGCTATAAACATTGGGGTGCACGTACCCCTTCGGATCCCTACATTTGTATCTTTGTGGTAAATACCCAGTAGTGCAAGACAGTCTCTTTAATAAATGGCACTGGGAAAACTGGACAGCTATATGCAAAAGAATAAACCTGGACCACCTTCTTACACCATACACAAAAATAAACGGGATTAAAGTCCTAAGCGTGACACCTGAAACCATAAAATTCTTAAAAAAAAAGATAGATAGATAGATAGTAAGCTCTTTCACACTGGCCATTGCAACATTTTTCTAGATATGTCTCCTAAGGCAAGGGAAACAAAAGCAAAAATAAACTATTGGGACTACATCAAAATAAAAAGATTTTGCACAGTGAAGGAAACCATCAACAAAATGGAAATGCAATCTACTGAATGGGAGAAGATATCTGCAAATGATACATCCAATAAGGGATTAATATCCAAAATACATAAAGAACTTAGACAACACTAAAAAACCCAAATAATCCAATCACAAATGGGCAGAGGATCTGTCCAAAATATATACAGAACTTATATAACTCACCACCCAAAAAAACAAATAATCCAATTAAAAATAGGCAGAAGATCTGAAGCCATTTTTCCAAAGAAGACATAAAAATGGCAAACAGACACATAAAAAGATGCTCAACATCACTCATCATCAGGGAAATGCAAATCAAAACCATAATGAGGTATCACTTCACGCTAAAATAAAACACACAAGAAACACCAAGTATTGGTGGTAAGGATATGGAGAAAAAGGATTCCTTGCACGCTGTTGATGAGAATGTAAATTGGTAGACACTGTGGAAAACAGTATGGAGGTTCCTCAAAAAATTAAAAACATACCATATGATCTAATAATTCTACTACTGTGTATTTACCCAAAGAAAACGAAAACACTAATTTAAAAAAGATATATGCACCCTTATGTTTGTTGCAGTATTTTATGCAATAGCCAAATTATAGAAGCAACCCAAATGTCCACTGACAGATGAATGGATAAAAAGATGGGTGTGTGTGTGTCTGTGTGTGTACAAATGGAATATTACTCGTCATAAAAAGGAATAAGATCTTATCATTTGCGACAACATGGATGGACCTAGAGAATATTACACTAAGTGAAATAAGTCAGAGAAAAATAAATACCGCATGATTTCACTTTATATGGAATCTAAAAAAATAAAAGAAATGAATAAACAAAAAGCAGAAACAGACCTATACATACAGAGAACCAAGTGATGGTTGCCAGACGGGAGTTTGGTGGAGGATGCAAAATGGGTGAAGAGGAGTGGGAGATAGAGGCTTCCAGATATAAAATGAATAAACGGGATGGCACAGGGATAGTCAATGATATTGTAATAGTGTTGTATGGTGACGGATGGTAGATACACTTGTGGTGAGCAGAGCACAACATATAGACTTGTTGAATCAGTATGTTTTACACCTGAAACTAAAGGAATACTGTATGTCAACTATACTTCAATTAAAAAAACCTAGACTAAGTGTAAAGAAGGAAGGAAGGAAGGAATGAAGGAAGGAAGGAAAGAAAGAAGGAAAGAAAATACTATTGCCCTCATTTTATAATGGGAACACCAAGGCTCTGGAAGGTTAAAAAATTTGCCTAAGGCCAAGTAAGGGAGAGAATGCTTCCTGGAAGAGTGCCGTCTGAACTCAGAGCTGAGTTCTTCAAGAATAAGGTGAAGTTGTCAGGGACAATGGCATTCCAGACAGAGGGACAACATACACACAGAGAAGTAGGAAACAGCTTGGTATGGGGTTCAGGAAAAAGATCAGTCTTCAGAATCAACAGACCTGGGTTCAAATATCTATTTTTGTTTTTGTTTCATGGTCTCTTACTATGACTATGGTTTTCTCAACTGTGAAATGGTTTTAAGAAGCTTTAAGATTAAAATTAAACACATGTGAAAGTGTGTATCACAGGGCCAGCATGGTAGGTACTCAATAAATAAATGTTACTTCCCTTCCTTTCCCCTAGTTGACAGTTCAATAATGCTAGTTGTAAGAACTGGACCCTAGGTATATCATTCTTCTATAAATTACAAAGCTTTATCAGAGCTTTTGGAGGCTCTGGTAAAGCTTGGCTCTGGTAAAGTACACCAAAAGTCATTCAGCAAGTTATCTGGTAATGTCCTTAACCACCATTTTTCAAAATAGGAGCTATTCTCACACCACTCACCTGTGTAGGCCATGTTCTTAGGGTTGCCGTAAGGAGCCCCAGGCTGCACGGGGCTATACACAGGGTTCATTGTGGAAGACTGAGGATCCTATAGAGAAACAAAGAAAACAGCACCGATTATTGATTGCTCATGTTCCCTGATATCAGCTTCCCCTCTATAATCTTCAGTTTATACTCACAGAGAACAACATGGTACAGCAAAAAGAGAACTAAACAAAAAGCCATTTGTTCGTACTTGGCCCTATGCTATACACTTTGCTCATTATACAGATGAAGATACTGAGAAGCAGAGAGGTGATACAACTTGCCTAATGTCAATCCAGGCCTTTTGCCTTTCAGTTCAGAACTAGACCCACTATCCCACAGATGACTCTCCCACTAGTATACTGTGTGGCACTGGCCAAGTCACTTCGCCTCACTGGACTCCAATGTCCTGATGTGAAATCCATTAGTTTAGGCTCTCTGAGGTACTTTCTAATTCTAAGGATGCTCGTCCATGAGCTAGGAAAGGATGCACTTTTACTGCTCACCAAGGGAGCACAAGAGCCAAACAATGAGCACACACACTATTAGGAAGAGCATCAAGTGTCTCACCAATCCTTTGCACCTGCAGCGGACAAGATACCAGTTACCAGATTTGGAAAAAACAGAAATTTATTGCCACTGATCGTTTTAATGCAAACAAGGAAACACAGCCAAGATCTCTTTCAAAATGTATTCAACAGAAAGAAATAAACTTGGAAATTTGTGTGCAATAAGTATCACCTGCACAAGTGCTCTGTTAATTACCTTAATGAAGCACATTCTCCATTCTGATTAATGGAAAAATCTGTCATTAAACTCTATTAGCCAGCCAATTTGTCCCATCTAGTTTAGGGAACCATCTCTGACATATAGGCCAACACATTTAAAAAACTGGTCTCTACAAATATATTATTTACACTTCATAAAAATCAAACAATTCCCTCCTAACTAGGCTCACATGATGGACGGGCAATTTTTTAGGTCATTAACTTCTCTTGTAGCACCTCAGGATAGGAAACAAGTCAAATGTCAAGATAGGCAGTGAACAGTTGGCTTGATGACAATTGCTCTGCAATTAATTAAGTCTCTCCAGGGTTCTGGAAGGAAAGGTGGAGTAAAAATAGGTTCCCAAGGAGAGGAAGGTAGGGCAGTCAAACAGGCAAAAAAGGAAATGCCACTGATCAATTTCAGAGGCTAGAACTTCCTGAAATGTACCCAATGGGCAGCCCTGGCAAATCACCCCAGGGCAACAGACTAAACTACCACCAGTTGACAAACTGAAACCAGAAAAACTTGAGGATGAAAGTTACAGAAGATATATATTTCAGCACACCTTAAAGAGAAAATAATCTTGCAGCCAGAGTTATCCAAGAATACAGCCAAGTAACACTCTCTCAGAATACAAGCACTCTCCTAAAAGGTACTGGGAGAATTAAGAGAGATCTCAGAATGTCAAAAATACATTGCAAACTGTCGGGTGGCATGCAGAGGTAAATGATGGTGGTGATGATGGAACAACAACAACACAGAAGACCACTTGTACACTTCCCTGCCTTGGATCTCTCTTCTGCCCAGTTAGTTCTCTGCTAAATAAGCTGGGGTAAGCAAGACTGTTGAAGTGCTAAGCAGTACAACTGGCCCTATAAACATATGGTCACTCTCCTACTGAGAAGGTACCTTGTGCTGCTGATTGGGCAAGGTATGAAATTGCTTTTCATAACCAAAGAAATGCATCAGCTTTGGAACTGGTCTCCTGCTGCTCCAAAATAAGGGCCACAGCCTCAAAAGGAGATCATGCCTGGGCAGCACTCCAGAACAGTATCGATTCCAAGCCCAACTAGTGACTGACAGAACTAGATATCTGCCAGGGGTTCAAAATTTAGATTACGAATATGACAGCCATGTCTGGGGAAGCTGCTCATAGGAAAAGAGGGTTCCTGGCTTTCAAGGGAAGGTCAACCTTTTACAAGAGAATCCACACACTGTTAATAGTTTCAGGGACAGGCTAAAAATGAGTAGGAAGATCACAAACTCTATGATCAGGCAGATTTAGGTTCAAATCCTGAAACTGCCACATATCAAATGTGGGACCACCGGCAAGTCCACTGACTTTTCTGAGCTTCAGTTTCCTCTAGCCTTAAAATGGAAAAGAATATTGTATAATTTGTAGAGTTGTTGTAACATTTGTTTTTTTGAAAGACAGATTTTTGAAGTATAATTTACATATGTGAAACTTACCCCTTTCAGGTATATAGTTTTATGAGCTCTGAAAAATGTAGTCATATAAGCACTCCACAAGTAAGATATAAAACATTTTCACCACCCCCCAAAATTTTCTCATCTTTGTAGTCAATACCCTCCCACCGATTCCTAGCCCATGACAACCACTGATCTGTTTTCTGTTGTTCTATATATATACACACATATCAACTTTCACTTTACAGATGAAAAAAACTGAGGCTGAGAAACGGCAAATGAACAGTCCAAGGTCACAAAGCAAGTAAGGGCAAGGCCAAGACTGGCACCCCAAATGTATCAAAGACCTAAATGAAAGAGTTGAAAATATAAAACTCATATAGGAAAGAAGAAAATACAGGAATAAACCTTTGTAACCTTGGATTTGGCAATGGTTTCTTAAATATGATACCAAAAGCACAAACAACCAAAGGAAGAAAACAGATACACTGGATTCATCAAAACTAAAAACTTTTGTGCTTTAAAGGACACCATTAAGAAAGTGAAAGACAACCCACAAAATGAGAAAAATCTGCAAATCATTAACAGCTGACCTTTGAACAATGCAGGGGTTAGGTGCACCGAGCCCCTCTGCAGTCCAAAATCTGCATGTAACTTTTGACTCCCCAAAAACCTAACTACCAAGAATCTTCTGTTGATTGGAAGCCTCACCAATAACATAAACATTTGATTAGCACATTTTATATATGTATTACATATTGTATTCTTATGACAAAGCAAGCTGGAAAAAGAAAATATTAAGAAAATCATAAGGAAGGGCGCCTGGGTGGCTCAGATGGTTGAGCGTCTGCCTTCAGCTCGGGTCGCGATCCCGGGGTCCTGGGGTTGAGTCCCACATCGGGCTCCCTGCTCCTTGGGAGCCTGCTTCTTCCTCTGCTTCTCTCTCTCTCTCTCTCTCTCCCTCTGTCTCTCATGAATAAATAAAATCTTTAAAAAAATATTAAAAAAAAATCATAAGGAAGAGAAAATACATTTACAGTACTGTACTGTAAAAAATCCGTATGTAGGTGGACCCACACAGTGTAAACCTGTGATGTTCAAGGATCAAATGTACAGGATAGGGGATTTGTATTTAAGATATATAAAGAATTCTTATCTTAATTCAATAATAAAAAGGCCACTAACCCAATTAAAAAATGGGCAACGGATCTGAACACACACCTCTTCAAAGAAGTTATATAAATGGCCAATAAGCTTATGAAAAGATGCAAATCAAAACCAAATCAGATACCACTTCACATACACTAGACGGCTATAATCAAAAAGATAACAAACAGTGTTGGCAAGGCTGTGGAGAATGAACCCTCATACAATGCTGGTAGGAATGTAAAATGATACAGCCACTTTAGAAAAAAGTCTAACAGTTCCTCAAATAGTTAAACATAGAGTTACTGTAAGATCCAACAATTCCACTCCTAGGTATATACCACAGAGAAATGAAAATGTATGTCCACATGAATGTTCATAGCAGCATTATTTGTAATAGTCAAAAGAAGGAAACAAATGTTCAACTGGTGAATGGATAAATGGAGTGTGGTATATCCATATAATGAAATATTTGACGATAAAAAGAAATGAAGTATTGATAGATGATACAACATGAATGAACCTTGAAAACATTATATTAAGTGAAAGAAGTTAGTCACAAAAGGCCACATATTATGTGATTCCATTTATATGAAGTTTCCAGAACAGGCAAACCTATAGAGACAAAAGGTAGATTAGCAGTTGCCTAGATTAGTTCATGATACATGAAACCTAGTAACTTCCAAATCCACATCTTTCTCACAATAATTATTATAACACTCAACCACACACCCATACCCACACATACCCTACTTCCTGAACATTTCTTCCTAATCACTCCATAAGCAATTCAAACCCACCATACCCAAAAGTAAACTCACCATCTTTCCCCAGGCCCATTCTTCCATCCTGTATTGCCTATCTCAGAGTTACTGACAATCCATCCACCTAGTACCTAAGAGAAAAACCTAGACATCATCCTAAAGTCCTCCCACTCTTTCACACCTGATCAATCACCAACTCCCAAAAAACCGTAATTTCTCATTGCTATCGTCCCTGTTTTAAGTTTTATCATCTCTTGTCTAAACTATTACAACAGTCCCAAGAGGTCACTTTTTCCAAAATTTAACCCAGTCTACCTCATCCCTGATATTCTTTATTAAAACACAGGTTGGGGGGCACCCTGGGTGACTCAGTTGGTTAAGCAACTGTCTTCGGCTCAGGTCATGATCCTGGAGTCCTGGGATTGAATCCTGCATCGGGCTCCCTGCTCAGCCTGGAGTCTGCTTCTCCCTCTGACCCTCCTCCCTCTCATGCTCTCTCGTTCTCTCTCAAATAAAGTCTTAAAAAAAGAAAAAAAGAGGGGCGCCTGGGGGGCTCAGTTGGTTAAGCGACTGCCTTCAGCTCAGGTCATGATCCTGGAGTCCCAGGATCGAGTCCCGCATTGGGCTCCCTGCTCAGCAGGGAGTCTGCTTCTCCCTCACACCCTCCCACCTCGTGCTCTCTCTCATTCTCTCTCTCTCTCAAATAAATAAATAAAATCTTCAAAAAAAAAAAAAAACCCAAAACCACGGGTTGGATGGGTTATTCTCTTCAAAGGCTTTGGGAATAAAATCCAAACTCCTTCACATGGTATACAATATTCTCTATGCTCTATCTGGGATGGGGCTCAGGAATCTATGTATTTATGTTCCCAAGGAGATTTTGAAGCCCAAACAGTGTGAAGACATTGCCTGCGACTCTCTTTCCCAAATGCCATTTGTCCCACATAAGCTTGATAGA